GGCGGTCACACATGGGTCCTCCTGTAACCCCCGTACGCAAGCTGTCTGGCGTGATGATCACTTGTAGTAGATATAGGAGAGCAAAGGTACACTTTCCTCCGCTGTCTTCCTAGCAGATACTGCTGCAACCTCACCGACCATTCAGTCAGAGGCGGGGCCTGCAGCCTCAACTCTACACATAGAAATTTGTCCTCATCAATGAATCAGCATGTAAGCAGGTAGGAAAGAGATAGCAGGGCACCCAGTTTGAATTGTGGTTTTGCAAGGAGCGGCAAGGAGCAATCTTGCCGGTGGGATGTGTGTGTGTAGCTTTGCAATGATTGCTATGCACAAGAAAAAAAATATTAAAGTGTGCAGTTCATGGTTGGGTTATCTACCCAGCCACAGTAAGACAATATACAACCTTCCACACCAAAAGCTCACCTGTCGGAAATAAAAAACGATCAAGGCGAAGGCAATCATTCTGTTGTGGCAGCAGCGGGCGGATATAAACAGCCAGGCTTAACTCTGCAGCTTATTGCAAATACTGTGAAAAATAACAAACTCCACAGCCTGCCCCAAAGGAGTCTAAATTTTTAGCAAATTTCCTTCACTGTACCGGGCCACAGCAACCTGGGTCATCATATAATTAAACGTACACATTCCAGGAAAGTACTTGTAATGCTTAATACTTTCGTTGAAAAGAGGATGGCAAACCGTTTGCAAGACTTAACAACAACATTGTTTTAAAGCATTGTTTTATTAATGTAGTTAGTGCTCTAGAGAAAAATAAACCCCTCCCCAAAGACCCTATTAAGCATTTACATGCCTAACCTATTATCTAAATTTGAGGGTGGAGAAAAGGAAATAGAGGGAAGGAAGGAGACAAGCAAGCAAGTTTTGACAGGGGATAAATATGTGCAATTACAATCAGACCTACTTAGGCTTCACTTCAGTCAGGAAAAGGGACTAAAGGCTTGTCAAAGGCTGTCCCAGAAGAGAGACATTCTGTTGAGTTGAGCCTAGAAAACCAAAGACATGCATCACATGTACGTCCTAGGAGGGATTTAGGGGAACAGATAGTAGCAGAGTCATCTATGGAAGAAGGAGAACTTCAGAAAGTTCAGTTAACATTTAAAGGGGAACCTTCTCACTTTCTGAGGGAAGAGATGAACTGAAACTCTGGTGTCCTTCAGAATTCGCAGTAATCTGAATTTTGTGATGATGTTCTCCAACCAATCACGATTTACAAAACTGCATATATTGGGGAAGAATGTGCATTGAAATGAATATATTAGTGAAAACCACATGCATAAATGTATTCTGTTGAGGGAAGATGCTTGCAAAAATGTGTGCATTTGTCAGAATGGCATACAGGAATGTGATTAGGAGGAGAAATTTGCACTAAAACAATACTGAATTTTCATGGCATATGTGAGTGCTTTCTTTCTTCCTTCTTTCCTTTCCTTTCCTTTTATTTAAACAATGTTTTTACAGCACCATTCACTTGAAATCAGATGGCCAGTATGCAATAAGCATTAAATGGGCAGAGAATGACTTCCCAGCTTCATGGCCCCCTGAATAAACACAATAAAACCTTTTAAAACAGACGTAACCAAACTGAGTTTATAACTAGCATTCTATACATGATCTCCCTTTGTAATGTCTTATTTTGAAATCTGTAAGATGATATTTTAGTTTCCTGTTAATAATGTTGCTTTGAATGTATGCTTTATATTTGGTTTTCTTCTGCAATGTTGTATTTTGGAAAGTTTTAATTGATGTTTTAATGTAGGTTGTAAACTGCTTTGAATCCCCCCCCTAAAAATATAAAGCAGTATAGAGATGAAAATAAGAATAAGAATAATAAGTGTAATAGGTAAAGGTAAAGGGATCCCTGACAGTCAGGTCCAGTCACAGACGACTCTGGGGTTGCGGTGCTCATCTCGCTTTATTGGCCGAGGGAGCCAGCGTACAGCTTCTGGGTCATGTGGCCAGCATGACTAAGCTGCTTCTGGCAAACCAAAGCAGCGCACAGAAATGCCATTTACCTTCCCGCCGGAGCGGTACCTATTTATCTCCTTGCACTTTGACGTGCTTTCAAACTGCTTGGTTGGCAGGAGCTGGGACCAAACAATGGGAGCTCACCCCGTCACGGGGATTTGAACCGCCAACCTTTCAATCGGCAAGCCCAAAGCTCAGTGGTTTAACCCACAGCACCACCCGTGTAATACTCTTCTTTAAATGCTTTACTGTCACATTAAGCTTGCATGCCATCTACTCTTTAGATGTTTCAACCAATGAAATCATAAGATATTTTTTTTAGAATGGCATACCAATAGGTTGGCATCTGTTTGTCTCAGGAAACAATGGATGAGTGTTTTCAAACAAGAAATGTAAAGACAAATGGTATGCTAATACCATTTGTCTTTAAATTTCTTGTTTGAAAATATGTCAGGGTCTTCCAGGACCTTTCACCCTTTGGGAATTATTCTGTTTTTGCAAAGGCTCCTCAGGACCCAGCAGGGATATCGAGTCTCATTGTTTTCATGGCACAAGCATCTTTACTTCTTCCAACCACCCTTCTTGCCTGGTACTTCCTTCCTTTTATTAAAGAAAGAAAGAACCTAAAGTAAAAACCTAAGATGCCTCCTAAGAACATCATCCTGTCTTGCTGCTGCAGTCTGATTCACACAGAACCATCATGTGTGCTAAAAATTGCAAAGATTCCTTCAAAGGGGAGGGGGGAGTAATTGATAAATGGCAGTTCAGTTGATGGACAAGGGCTAAATTAGCTCTTTTAATATCCTCATTCATTATTTAGAAGAAGGGATATAGGATGCCCAGGAATGCTCGATTGGATAATGTTATAAATACCCTGGAGAACAAGATTTGATATAACAAGTTTCAGCAATTGTTGAATCAGAGACAGCAGATAAAAGTAACTGAACTTTGTTAAATGAAAGGCAATAAATAAAGGGAATAAACAGCGACAAGCCTTCAGTAAGGGAGCAGAATATGAAGGCAAGATGAGTCGGTGAAAGTTAGATATAGATTTGCAATGAATTATGACACAAGGCAGAAAAATCAATTTAAGTGCAGACAGAGATAAACAAAGAAATGAAGCATGCAGTTAACCTCATGTGAGGCTGGGAGGGGCAGGGGCAGGTGGAAATGATCATGACTTGAACATAATCATCCACTAGCCTCTTTTATTTTATTTTATTTTATTTATTTACATAATGTACAAAGCGCTCATGAAATCAATTTATCCAAGCAGTGTAATCTGTGCCATCTTTACGTATAAGCTAAACAAGCTACAGCTTAGGGCCCCACTCTCTTGGGAGCCCCCAAAAAATTAAAGGAAAAAAACGCACCTGGATGTACATTTCCAAAATATAATATAAAAAACAAATAAAATAAAACCTACATACAGCAACAGTGTATTGTGTTGTATAGGCTGCTATGATGTAACTAATGGGCCCCGCCTGCTCGCCTGCTCCCTAAAATATCACAGGTTTACTCATTTCTGTATACAGTGGTGCCTCGCAAGATGAAATTAATTCGTTCCGCGAGTTTTTTCGTCTTGCGTTTTTTTTCGTCTTGCGAAGCACGGTGTCGGAAAAGTTTTGGAAAAGCTTCAAAAATCACCAAAGTCTTCAAAAACCTCAAAAAAGGCTACCACACCGCGTGCTACGAGTTGTTCCTCGCAGTCAAGTCGCAACTGTATTAACGGTTTTAAGAAAAAGGAAACAAACTTGCAAGACGTTTCCGTCTTGCGAAGCAAGCCCATAGGGAAAATCGTCTTGCGAAGCAACTCAAAAAACCAAAAACCCTTTCGTTTTGCGAGTTTTCCGTCTTGCGGGGCATTCGTCTTGCGAGGTACCACTGTAGAGAGTGCCTACATTCTGCATGCACAAATGGATTCAGATACCTATTAGGTCCATAAATTACCATATAGCATATATTCAACACAAAAAACCAGCGACAATTTGTTGTCAACAGCTGGACATATAAAGGGCCCCAATACCTTCAGCAGCTTAGGGCCTCATCAAACCTAAATCTGGCCCTGAGTGTCATGTTCAGTTTTATGTGTATGAAAAATGACTGGTTATATATGTGATGAATAATTTTTTTGTTTTTTTGTTTTGTTTTGTTCTCAGATAACATGGGTATGATCCAGCCAGTTAAGTACTTTCTACTAATTTCTTTCTTTTGTTTATAAATTGCTTCCTATTAAGCACCTGTGGGTTTCACCTAGAAAGAGGATTGCTATAATCATGGAAATGTTGGATTCAGGTAGGTTGGTCTAACGCAGTCGAAATAAAAAAAAAAATTGTCCAGTAGCACCTTTGAGACCAACTAAGTTTGTATAAGCTTTCGTGTGCATACACACTTCTTACTGGATTTTCAGCAGGCATGGCGATGCTGATTCACACAAACGGTGCTTCCACAAGGACTCTGCCTGCTTCCAGCCAAAGCCCCTAGCATCAGCAGAGTGTGTATTTATATGTAGTAAAAAAGTGTGGGGTGGAACCGTACCCCTCCTTTACTAACTACCCTTGAAAGTAAGTCTACTATGCCCTGTTCTGTTCATCTGTATGTCAGACTATCACAGCCTGTTGCAACTATGGTACTATTTAAGATACAGTGGTACCTCTGGATGCAAACGGGATCCGTTCTGGAGCCCTGTTCGCATCCTGAAGCGAACGTAAGACGCGACTGCGCGACTGCGTGTGCGTGGGTTGCGTTTTGCTGCTTCCGTGCATGCGCGTGATGTCATTTTGAGCATCTGCGCATGTGCGAGCAGCGAAACCCGGAAGTAACTCACTCCGTTACTTCCGGGTCGCTGTGGAGCACAACCCGAAAATATTTAAGCTGAAGCGTATTCATCCCGAGGTATGACTGTACTGCTTCATCATTGTCCTTTGGGCAGCTTGACTGCCTAGCATAAGCACACAATTCCATTTCAGCACGCAGCATATGGCAGCAACAGTTGTAGTTTTAAGCAATGTACAAATTCAATCAATCAATCAAAACCTTTATTGCATTAGCATACAGCCATAGCAAAATAAGACAAAAATACTAGAGACAAGCAACCAAACAAAATTCAAAGCAATATTACTGGCGTAATGACATTTAAATTACCCTAAGACAATAATGTAAAGATTTAGTTGCCAGCGCCAAGAATCCAAAATGCGGATGTATATAAAACATAAAATGGCCCCAAAATAGGCTCGGCACATTGGGTTGAAAAAGTAATAAAAAGAATTAAAACAGGTCCAGGTCTAGGACACACTACCCAGTCAGAGTAGCCCTGAGTTTCAGAGCCTGCACTATAAAGATTGCCACCCCACGTGAAATTTGGGGATTTGCGTCCACAAGAAGCGATTTCAAACAGTCTTCCTTAGATGTAATGGTGGACGGGATCAAGAGGAGGAGCTTAGGTCTTATTGGCTCATAAATAGGGCAGTAGAAATGTATGAAGTCCTCTACTTCATTCATTGTGCATGGACATAAACGCTGAGTAATAGGGGTCTTAGAGTAAATCCCCTGCAGGAAGGCCGTGGGTATAGAATGGAAACGGGCCATAGTAAACGCTCTTCTCAAATTGGGCTCCGTCAGGTCTATCAAGTAGTTGGCAAGTGATCTTACCACTTTCACTTTAGGGAGCCACATGGAGAGGCGAGCTGTAATGGACTGTGCCCGGTCCATGGCCTCGTCTCTTGTAAGAATCCAGGCCCGGATTTTATGTTGGTCCCAAGATGACAGCGTGTCGAGATCTGGGAGGGAGTAGCGTGCAGTAATAGTCTCCATGGCCTTGGACCATTTGTTGGTATGAGAACAAGTTAAAAAGGCTTGCCTAGCTAGTAGGGAACCTGGGGCATTGAATAATTTACAGTAAAAACTAATGATTCTAATGTGGGCTCTTGCAACAATGGAGGGAGGCCCAGTTCTGTTCTTAACTGTGCAGCAACTGAGCCCTTGGGGAGGCCCAGTATCTTTCGTGCAAAAGAGTTTTGCAGAATCTCCAGCGATTGTAGTGTTTTTAAATTCCACCCCCAGATTTCAACCCCATACAGTAACATCGGGAGGACTTTGCTGATAAATGCTTTTCTGATTGGTGGAACCAACTGGCCGCCTTTTGCATAGAAGAATTTCTCCAAGGCTTTGATGGTTCTACGGGCAGCCAGGATGGTCATATTTAGGTGAGCTGACCAGCTAAGCCCATGCTGAAAAGTGATACCCAAATACTTGAATGCTGAACAATATTCAATAGAGTGGCCCTCAAAATTCCAGAAAGGCTTCCGAGTTTTCGTGCCAAAAGTAAGAATTTTGGTTTTGGCAAAATTGATTTTGAGGGAGTTGGTATCACAATATGTCATGAGCCCTCTGAGCATGTTGTTTAAGCCCTGCTTGGTTAAAGACAGTATCACCATGTCGTCCGCATAGAGTAATATGGGGATCTTGAGCTGTTGTAAAGAGGGGACAGATTGATTTAGGGCCTTCATGGTTGTAACGATGTCATTGATGTAGAAATTGAATAGAAAAGGGGCCAAGAGGCAGCCCTGTTTGACCCCTTTATTCAGAGGGAAAGGATCAGATAGAGCTCCCAGAGGGTCGAATTTTACTCTGGCCGATATGTCATTATGAATTTCCATAAGAAGGTGGAGGAGTCTCTTATCTATGTTAGTGTAACTAAGCTTCTGCCATAGCCTATCTCTGGGGATGGAGTCAAAAGCGGAGGTCAGGTCCACAAAAGCCGCGTGTAGTTTGCAGTTGAACCTGTTTAGATATTTATCAATCAGGGTAAATAGAACAAGACATTGGCCAGATGTGCTGTGACCTTTACGGAAGCCAGCCTGTTCCGGGTGAAATAGCTTTGTTTCTTCTGCCCACTCGATTAATTTCTCTAGCAAGAATCTAGAGTAGACCTTGTATGATATGTCCAGCAGGCTGATAGGTCGATAGTTACGCGGATCTTGTGGATCCCCCTTTTTATGTATTGGGATGACTATGCTCTGTTTCCAATTAGGTGGAATCTTAAGAGTAGCATTAATAGTGGTAAAGAGAGATGCTAAAATAGGGGCCCACCATGTCTGGTTCGACAAGAATACCTCAGGTGGTATCATATCCTCCCCCGGGGATTTATCCCCTGAAAGCGTACTGATTAGTTGAATACATCTCTCTGGGGAGACTGGCTCCCAGGTGGGCAAGGCAGATGCTGGAAGAGTGGAGACAACATTTACTTCGGGATCTGGGGCGGAATACAGCTGAGCAAAGTGAGAGTGCCAACTGGCTGCTGTGATGTTATTAGCGATGAATGAGGGGGGTCTTAAACCTGTACAAATTCAAATTCAAGCCCCGAGGCCTACACACAGAACACTCTACAGAAATGATGTGAAATGTTCTGCTGGAAGCATATTATTATACTAAAAGGAAAGGTTTTTTTTTTTTTAAAAAAAGGAATAATCCTGAACACCAAATTCTCCGCTGCTTGCTCATATAGTACCATTAGCTGAAAAAGTGAATTTCTGTTTTTTTTTCCTATTCCCATGTCCTTGAGTTCAGTCCAAGGATTTATTTTCACCCTGCAGCCTACGGAAGATTATACTGCAGACAGCTGCTGTAAAGACCTCCATGCCATCCTAACTGGGCTGATTAAATATTCACAAGAACATAGGGAAGATATGACATCAACACAAGTAACTCCAGGGTCTGACCTTCCATAGCAGAAAGCTTGAGAATTATGTTGCGGGAATAAACCCAGAGCAGCCTGTAACAGCTGCATGGCAAAAAAGGGCCATAATGCAGTTTTCATGTTGTACACTTCAGTACTGGGCATGCATTGTTAAATTCTCACTGCAGGAAGCCAAAGTGCCCAGAGTCTCTTAACGCATCATGTGTACCAGAGCTCTCAGAGCCAGCTAACAATAAAACCTGACAGCACAGACAATTATACCAATATTCACTGTGCGCAAAGCTGAGAGGCTGCAACAGCTGGACCAATGCCTGGTGAGACTTAGACTGAAGTATTAAAATATAAAAATGTAGACTTTATGCTCACCATTTACATGTCCCCTCACACATTTATCCTAGTAATCCTTTTCAAAGACCCTGAGGGTAGGCCAGTAGTATTACCACACACACACACCCATTTGGCAGATAAAGACTTGCCACTGTTAGACCCACTGAAATCTATGGATGTAACTTAAATCTATGGGTTTCATCTGGTCTGTTCTAATTGTTGCTTAGTTGATTTGAACCCTTAAAGAACAGCAGCTTGCTGAAAGCCAACGGCTGCCAGACTGACCTTCTCTCCACCGCAGTACGCACCAGGTTGTCTTAAAAGGAAGGAAGGAAGTCATTTAGTTGTTTTGCTAACAATAGTTTTAGGATTGCAAATAGCTGACTATCCTAAAATGACCGAAACACTAAAGGCATGTACACATCGTGTGCATTCAAGTGTAGGATGCAGGGGGTCCAGCACACAGGATGTCATCCTGATGTCATTTTTCCTGTCCCACACTATTTGTCAACAATAATAATAATTTGTTATTTGTACCCCGCCCATCTGGCTGGGTTTCCCCAGCCACTCTGGGTGGCTCCCAACAGAATATTAAAAACACAATAAAACACCAAACACCAAAAACTTCCCTAAATAGGACTGCTTTCAGATGTCTTCTAAAAGTCAGGTAGTTGTTTATTTCCTTGACATCTGATGGGAGGGCATTCCACAGGGCGGGCGCCACTGCCGAGAAGGCCCTCTGTCTGGTTCCCTGTAACCTCACTTCTTGCAGGGAGGGAACCGCCAGAAGGCCCTCAGAGCTGGACCTCAGTGTCCGGGCTGAACGATGGGGGTGAAGACGCTTGTTCCTCATTCTGTAGGAAGGGTTATAATGCATCTTGTGTCAGGAATGGGCTGTGCCACTCCCCCTCACCATGTTTAACTTGTTTATGAGTTAAATACAAGTGTCCTTTCCTGCTTTGGCTCATCTTCCTTTTTCTTTTTCTTTTCTTTTTCCTTTTCCTTTTCTTTTATCTTTCCCATAGTTGCTTATGTTCTATGTCATGTACTTTGATATTTTTTGTAGTTTTTGTAGTTTTTTTTCATTACTATTAAGGAATTTTCCTTTGTAATGTTGGTTGTCTATATTTATATGTACCTGTTTATATGTACCTGTTAAAAGCAAAAGAAAAGTTATTTTTTAAAAAATAATACAAGTGTCAACCAGCTTGCGCCAGGGGTCTGTTCCTGGCTCCTGTGCAGACTGGCAGAGCACACATAAGCCCGCTACACCCCATTATGCACTGCCCCCATTCTGACCATGCTGGTGGTCACACATCAATTGGAAACTCACAAAATGGTTGTCATCTGTAGGGAGACTAGGAAGCATTACAGAAGCTTATCTGCCTCTGCACACCGATATATCTTCTATATATCAAGACACCAGTTTCTAGCCCCTCTCTTTCAGAAGACTGGGGGTGTGTGGGGGGGAGGTATGTGGAAACACTAATTGAGAAGGCGCAACAGAGAACACAATTGGGCACTAGTATGAAAACAAGCCCACCTTTGTGTACAGATAACACAGTAGCTGCTGCTTTAGACAACATTATCGTGTGAAGGCTACATACTAAACCACTGTGAAAAAATGACCACTGTGCATTTCAAAGGTTATGTGTGTATGCAGCCTAAATATGTAACATGATTCAAGACCTGTAAATAGCTGACTATACTGAAATGATTGCAACATTAATTGTGTAACATGATTCTTCCTCGTTCGGCATCTGTGTAAAGAGGAAATATTCACTCTGTGCAATGTGAGCATAGATCAGTGCCATCATGGATTAGAATATGCGGAAGATGATAGGATCAGTGGTGTGGACAGTGAGCAGCGTGTTTTGGTTGCAGCTGGAAATCCTGAATTCTCCCAGGGCAGGTAACAACATAATTATACAAAGAAATAAAACCATCTATGAAATAGCTATAAAATGAAAGTGGTTTTTTCCATCTGTGAAATTGGAAAGTGGAATGTATGTTGATGACGCTACTGAAATATATACAAACATAATAGTCTGGAATATTATGAGTTTGGAATGGAATTCAGATTGTAACACACCTTACAAGGTGAAAATGCTGCAGAAATTATAAACAACAGTGACTACATTAAAAAAAACAAAACATGATCAGAATCCCCCCCCCCCCCAAAAAAAAAAGATTAAGTTTTAGCTCTCTCTGTCGGCCACTTTTTAGGTGTCTGTTGCAACTAGAGGTAGAAACAGTCTGTTTATTTCCAGTATTCTTGAAGTTAATCCTATGTCCATCACAGTGAAGCAAAAAGATTTCCCCCACCTCCTTCATCATTTGCCTAGTCTAGGCAGCCTAGACATTGGGTTTATCAATATTGAGTGTCTTTAAATTATGGATGAGAGACCTTGTATATCAGAGATATACTGTTAGTGCTGTATTATTAAAGAGGAAAAGGAGGGGTTCCTGAGAAGATAAGAGAGAAAACCAATACAGGATTTGTACTTCTTAACCTCAATAAAACTTTGTGAACAGGAAGTGATGCAACTGGTTTGCATTCCCATCAGTAATCAGTGAAAGAGTAATTCACTTTTGTGCAAGCATATGTGACCCAGCCCTTGGATCCTCAAGAACACACATTAGCTATTGCATTATTTGTTGTACAACCATAGTGTCCTGGGCCCCCAGCCAAGGAAGACACATGCTTGATAGTTGAGTCTTTTTTGACGAAGAAGCACTCAGAGCTGTTCTCACAATGCTCCAGATACACAGAGAGAGGCAGCTATCCTCTAGGCAGCTGTCCCCAGATTTCTGCCATGTGGACCAGCTACAGCAACAGGGAGACCATGCATCTCAGCCTATGTATCCTCATCTGACAAGGAGCACACACGCAACCTGAGGTTCCTCCTACACAAAAGCCATTGCTTCTCTTCCCTCTTCCAGCCCCTCCTGGTTCTAGGCGACAGCAGGGTGGTGGGGAGTCTACTGGCCCTTCCCCTACTCTGCCACATCCTGCATACTTCCTCCCATCTCAGACTGCTTTGCCCCTTCCTCCTCCTTTACTGGCTCCTGACTTGCAAGTGGCTCCAAACCCCATAGATCGCTGGCCTCCTCTCCTGGGTCACTCTCCAGGCCCCTTGCCTCCAACACACACTCTTCAGAGCCCTGCCAGTCCCTGACATATAGTGTTATGAGTTTGTGGGTGCCAGACCAGTATAAATTCCTGGATTCAGTAAGTGTTAGAATTTAATCAAGGCTTTGGGTATTAAGCTGGCTGCATGACACCTAGTCCCTGGACCCAGCAAGTGTCAAAAGCTAATCAAGCTAGGCAAGCTCCCTATGTTCAGGTAATTGCCTGGGTGATGGGCCATTAATGAGAACAAAGGAAAGTTGATGAGCCATTAAGAAAGCAAAAAGAAGAGGCAGATCAGTGCGAGACAGCAAATGGGTGATATTGAGACTCGCGCATAGTGAGAAGAGAGAGAGAGAGAGTTTGGATTTGATATCCTGCTTTATCACTACCCTAAGGAGTCTCAAAGCAGCTAACATTCCCCTTTCCCTTCCTCCCCCACAACAAACACTCTGTGAGGTGAGTGAGGCTGAGAGACTTCAGAGAAGTGTGACTGGCCCAAGGTCACCCAGCAGCTGCATGTGGAGGAGCGGAGATGTGAACCCAGTTGACCAGATTACGAGTCCGCTCTTAACCACTACACCACACTGGCTCAGGACAAAAGCCAGAGTTTAGAGTTGAAAGTGTTTGCAATGTGACCTAGAAAGATGCAGGCTGTGAAGCCAGAGAGGCAGAGCACAATGTTGGATGTCTGTTGGAATCCAAGGCTGTAGCAATGGAAGAAACAAGACCCTTTTGGGGTGTTGATGCTGTGAGTCCCTCCATCGTAGGCTCAGGTTGCAAATATGTGTAAATAAACCATCTATAATAAAGACACCAGGGTTTCCACTGTGTCTCAGTTCCAAAAGGAAACATGATCCCATGCTATGCGCCTGGGACCCCTGGAGTCTAGCACCACTTGGAGATTGGGGTGGCATGCAACATTGCAACAATATGTCGTACTCAATGATAGGAGTGGGCTCATAGCACTGCAAAGGATGGTAAGTATGAAGTGTGTTAAGAAGGGCATCATTCATTATTATTATTTCATTTATTAATCACTTTCTAGGAAGCACCTCAAACCAACTGCACAATACAGTGGTACCTGGGTTACAAACACTTTGGGTTACAGACTCCACTAATCCAGAAGTAGTACCTCGGGTTAAGAACTTTGCCCCAGGATAAGAGCAGAAATCGTGTGGCAGCAGCAGGAGGCCCCATTAGCTAAAGTGGTACCTCAGGTTAAGAACGGACCTCCAGAACAAATTAAGTTCGTAACCAGAGGTACCACTGTACTATAAAATATATGTAACGTTTCACATATCTACAATTGCATATCTAAAACCCATTTTGCATCCAGTATAGATACAGACTGCTACACAGATCTTCACATAGGGGGAGCATGATCTCATCTAAAGCAGGCAACTGATCAATTATCCAGACTAGTGAACTGCTCACCCGTAGTGCCGCCATCGTGACGGGATACAGAGTCGGCTTGTTGGGCCTCGTCTAGCCAACCACCAAGTGTGGGTTTGCGTATCTCTCATGATTCAGATGCTACAGAGAAACAGAACTGGGCATCATCAACATACTAATGACACCTCACTCCAGATCTCCTAATGAGCACTATCAACAGCTTCATACAGGTGTTAAATAGCATTGGGGACAAGACAGTACCCTGGGAGACCCCAGAGTGCAGCTGGTAGAGGACTGGGGGCTAATCATCCAATGCTATTCTCTGAAACCAATCCTGGAAATAAGACCGACACCACTGTAAAACAGTACCCATCTCAGAGCCTGATCAGGTTGTCATGGTCAATGGCATCAAATCTGCCAAGAGTCTGAGTAAGGGCACATTTATACCATACAGTGGTACCTTGGGTTACGTACTTAATTTGTTCCAGAGGTCCATACTTAACCTGAAACTGTTCTTAACCTGAAGCACCACTTTAGCTAATGGGGCCTCCTGCTGCTGCCGCGCCACCGGAGCACGATTTCTGTTCTCATCCTGAAGCAAAGTTCTTAACCTGAAGCACTATTTCTGGGTTAGCGGAGTCTGTAACCTGAAGCGTATGTAACCTGAAGTGTATGTAACCCGAGGTACCACTGTATATTTAAAGAGCATGACTCCCCCCAGCCCTAAATCTCAGGAGCTGTAGTTTGTTGGGGATTTTATGTATGTGAGGAGGAAACTACAGTTCCCATCATTCTTTGGGGGATGCCATGTGTTTCAAATGTGTGTTTTCGATGTAGTGGATTTGCCCAAGTCACACTGCCTTGCCCTCCTCCTGATAAAGGTCATCCATTAGGGTGACCAAGGCTGATTCAGTCCCATAGACAGGCCTGCACCTGGTAAGGATCAAGGTAATCCGTTGCATCCAAGAGTAGTTGTGCAACTACCATCTCAATCACGCTAAAAGGGAGTATTTGCAACCAGGTCGTAGTTGTCGCCAACCATTGTGTCCATGCTGGCTTTGTCAGGAATGGTCAAATCACCTTCTCTTTCAAGAGAAAACTGTGAATCAAGAGAACTTCAACCAAATGAGATACACAATTCACTAAGAATAGCTTACATCACTTTGTAAGAATAGATTTCCTCTGCTGTTCTAAAACACAAAGCAAAGGTATGGACATTGTAGGGTTGCCATATTTCAAAAAAGTAAAAAACAGGACACCTTGAAATTTGTTGAGACCCCAAAATTGTTGAGCAGCCCTAGAACATCACTGGCCACTAGAAGGAAATTTTTAAGGACAAAACAGAACTGCATATATTTCTGATGATACTGGCATATGGTAGATAACTGCATTTTATTACATTTTAATGATCACAGATGTGTTCGTACCTGACCACTGAGGCCAGACCTAGGAAATATGGCTATTACTTAACAAGCAGTTTATGTACAGCAGAAGGAAATTCACCATCTACAGAACGACTCCAGCTGCTTTTCCAGCTCACTAGTCTAGAACTGATACATTACTTTTGTGATTGGTAGCTGTGTTGCACTTTTTCATTTCTTTCCCTTTCTCACTATTCAGATCTGTTTTAAAGTTGTGTGATTTGGCAGCTAGGAAGTTGGAATAATTTCAAATGTCATTTCAAATTTAACCTGAACCATAATCTCACCAACTAGACTTAGGCTATTCTCTCACCTATAGCCTCTCATCTGCAATAACTCCATATTATATTACTGACCTATCTTATTGTTGTAAGATTATTGCTCTAATGGAAATCGAGTTCTAAGCATTCAGTAAGAAAGTCCCAAAGTATGTTAAAATTGAAGTGAAATAGAGTATTATTACATTTATTCATGTTTGCAGTTTCTACACGTTTTCAGAACTGCCTCCCACTTAGCTGAGGGCAGGATGGGATATGGAGGCAAAGAAGAACAGCACAGTTTTACCAAATGTTCAAGCTTCTTGCACCAGAGAACTCCACTAGAGTCAGATTTTGTACCAGCAGAGAATTACACTCTTAATCTCTTTAAAGCTTTCATGAATTAAGACGTTTTTGATTTCTTCCACTCTAGTTCAATTATTTCTTCATCGCAATCAGCAATCTGTTGAAGTATTTGCAAGTATAATAGGATTTTTTTTAAATACCCCTCAAAAATACACCAAAATAACCTGCACCACATGACACTTAAAGGAAGTACTGACTAAGAACATGTCTGAAATAATTATTCTGTTCTTGAGTTTGAGGTGGCATGGGGTCTTGCAGTCTTGTTCCCCAGCCACAGCTGCATGTTGTTCACCGATACTATGGCAGAATCTGTGGCGATCACACAGGGTCCCCGGACGTTTGACGGTCTATTGATCCCTGTGCCGCCACTGTGATCGCTTCCCCGCTGCCACCAACCCATTTCGGGCACACACTGAGTCCAGACAGTTGTTAACATTAAACCAAATAAACAAGTTTATTTTATAAGCATTAACAAGTTTATGGTTTCAGATAATTTTTCTTGTCAGTTTCTTAACCTTAGTTTCTTTACCGACCTATACCTTCCTAATACCTTCTAACTGATTATCCCAACTGTTTAACTGACTCCTCTTAACAGATTCTCTCACATCAAACTAGCCCAACCCACAGACTTATCCTCCCGTTCCCTTCTCTAACTCCAGACTGACTTCTTAACAACTCTAACTCTCACTCTAACTCCTCCCCTTGGGTTCCTATTGGTTAATCATTTTACACTTAGTTAACCCTTTCCTTATGACCCAGTATGATGTCACACACCTAGGAGGCCAAACGCCACAGTCACAATCTAGCACTTTGTATCATCAACCTCTATTATAGTTCTGGTGCATGCATGCCAAAGAGAGTTAAAGAAATATGGATTGTGTGTAGTAAGTGCCAGACAAACACCGGGAGTGGTGTGTGATTGTGTGTGTGTAAGTATGACAGGCTCCAAGCCTGCTGGAGAATTTTCTTGCTATGTGTGTACCATCATCATCATCATTCAAAGGTTAAGGGGACGCAATTGCCAGTGACTGTCCTGTTTGTCTGTATCATTCAGTAATCATAGAATCATAGAATCATAGAGTTGGAAGAGACCACAAGGGCCATCGAGTCCAACCCCCTGCCAAGCAGGAACACCATCAGAGCACTCCTGACATATGGTTGTCAAGCCTCTGCTTAAAGACCTCCAAAGAAGGAGACTCCACCACACTCCTTGGCAGCAAATTCCACTGTCGAACAGCTCTTACTGTCAGGAAGTTCTTCCTAATGTTTAGGTGGAATCTTCTTTCTTGTAGTTTGGATCCATTGCTCCGTGTCCGCTTCTCTGGAGCAGCAGAAAACAACCTTTCTCCCTCCTCTATGTGACATCCTTTGATATATTTGAACATGGCTATCATATCACCCCTTAACCTCCTCTTCTCCAGGCTAAACATGCCCAGCTCTCTTAGCCGTTCCTCATAAGGCATCGTTTCCAGGCCTTTGACCATTTTGGTTGCCCTCCTCTGGACACGTTCCAGTTTGTCAATGTCCTTCTTGAACTGTGGTGCCCAGAACTGGACACAGTACTCCAGGTGAGGTCTGACCAGAGCAGAATACAGTGGCACTATTACTTCCCTTGATCTAGATGCTATACTCCTATTGATGCAGCCCAGAATTGCATTGGCTTTTTAGCTGCCGCGTCACACTGTTGGCTCATGTCAAGTTTGTAGTCAACCAAGACTCCTAGATCCTTTTCACATGTACTGCTCTCAAGCCAGGTGTCCCCCATCTTGTATTTGTGCCTCTCATTTTTTTGCCCAAGTGCGATACTTTACATTTCTCCTGTTAAAATTCATCTTGTTTGTTTTGGCCCAGTTCTCTAATCTGTCAAGGTCGTTTTGAAGTGTGATCCTGTCCTCTGGGGTGTTAGCCACCCCTCCCAATTTGGTGTCATCTGCAAATTTGATCAGGATGCTCTTGAGTCCATCATGCAAAGGTCTGCAGTCCATCACTCTCAGTGTTAATGTTATCAGGGAACAGGTCCTCCTACACTTTTGAAAAAGTGGTCTAGAGCAGCCGATTTAAGAAGAAAGGTTTGTGGGGGTAGCAACTTACTTCAGGGGAGCAAATTCTTATCTGGCCAAATGTCTAGTCTAGACAATCGTTTTGACTGCACATTTTTAGGCTACTGTTCCACACATACTCATTGAGCACAGTGGGATCTGTTTCTGAATAAGCATGCAAAGGATTAGGCTGTGAGTTGGTTTCCTCTGTGCCCTACATTGTGTGTGTCAAAGCAGACATTAAAGATAATGACTGGGGAAAATAGCTGCAATCTGCAGTGTCAAAAGATCAGTTTTTTTAAAGAGCAAAAATAGATAATATCACAGGCAAGATTTTTAAAAGGGCTATTTCAAAGCATTACAGCCAACTTAAGAAAATTACAGTCCCGCTTATGGTTTCCTTTTTAGGGCAAAGCTAATGGCTTCTGAATCAGATTGTTTCCTTTTCTCTTTAAGCTGAACTGTGACCCCCCCCATAAAAGATGGTAACACATCCACAAAATGTGGCATCTCAAGACTGCACTCCGTACTAAAACAAGTATAGGCACAGACAACAAACCCAGAAAAATGTTGCCTTGCAGAAGACAAATCCACCAGGCATTGATGTCACTTGGCTACTTTGACCTTGGTGGTGGCAACAAGTCCTACTGCCCCTCCAGTGTGAGAGTCTGCCACTGAGTCAACTAATGAAGAAACAGCATGTGACTGAGGGGCTCTTAATACATTGTGATGGTGTCCAATGGTGGGAGGCCTGGTGATGTGAGGAACATTTGCCAAAAGATGTTGTCCCACAGCAATGCACCTTAAAGGTAAAGGTAAAGGGACCCCTGACCATTAGGTCCAGTCGTGGCTGACTCTGGGGTTGCGGCGCTCATCTCGCTTTATTGGCCTGGGAAGCCGGCGTACAGCTTCCGGGTCATGTGGCCAGCATGACTAAGCCGCTTCTGGTGAACCAGAGCAGCGCACGGAAACACCATTTACCTTCCCACCAGAGTGGTACCTATTTATCTACTTGCACTTTGACGTGCTTTCGAACTGCTAGGTTGGCAGGAGCAGGGACCGAGCAATGGGAGCTCATCCCGTCGTGGGGATTCGAACCGCCAACCTTTTGATCGGCACCTTATTCATTTATTAATTTCATAAAACTTACATACCACTCAATGGTTTAAAAACACACACACCCTCAAATCAGTTTTTTAAAAAGAGTAAAACAATGAAACTTCTCAGTAAAAAAAAGTTAAAAACAACAATTTTAAACATGAGAAATTAACTGAAATCAGTGATAAACTAAAAACCAGATTAAGACGCATGTCAACATTCTACATGTCTGGATGAAATGTTCTTAGCGTGTGCTCAAAAAGGATACAGTGGAAATGCAGCCCTAGTGCCAATAGGCAGACAGTTGTAAAGTGTGGGTGTTACCACACTAAAAGATCGATTCCGTACAAATGTGGAAAGAGTATTAAAGGTAAAGGGTAAAGGGACCCCTGACCATTAGGTCCAGTCGTGGCCGACTCTGGGGTTGTGGCGCTCATCTCGCTTTATTGGCCGAGGGAGCCGGCATACAGCTTCCGGGCCATGTGGCCAGCATGATTAAGCCCCTTCTGACGAACCAGAGCAGTGCAGGGAAACGCCGTTTACCTTCCCGCCGGATCGGTACCTATTTATCTACTTGCACTTTGATGTGCTTTCAAACTGCTAGGTTGGCAGGAGCAGGGACCGAGCATTATGTAGCCTCTATTACAGTGACAGTTCCACAGATTGGAGTGGTAGAGTGGGTTTCTATGAGGGAAGGCGATCTTGCATGAGTTTAAGAAATGTTTAAAAATACTTTTGTTAAAAAACCAGAAGCCTTTCTGTTGGGTATAGTGGGTGAAGAGATACCAAAGGAAGATAAAAGACTGTTTATGTATGCAACAACTGTGGCAAGAATTCTTTTAGCCCCAAAATGGAAACAACAAGTACCAATGAAAGAAGAGCGGCAGAGGAAGATGATGGACTTTGCAGGACTGGCGAAGCTGGCAGGAAAAATCTGAAACCAGCACGATCAAGTATTCCAGAAGTACTGGAGTAAATTCAGATGATATCTGAAAGATCATTGTAAGCAATTAACATCAATAGCAGGGTTGTCTGAAGACTTGTAATGAGAAATTTTCTACCTTTCTATATTTATTTAAATTTTAGAGATATTCTGTAATGAGTGTAATTAGAATTGGATAACGTATAAATTGCAAGGATATAAAGGTTAATTTTGAAAGCCACGAGGTGGCTCTAAGAGCCAGGGCGGAATAGTGGATAAAGATGATGTGAATGTATAATATTAAATGGAAAATAAATTACACACACACACTCACACACACACACAGTGGTACCTCTGGTTACGAACTTAATTCGTTCCGGAGGTCCGTTCTTAACCTGAAACCGTTCTTAACCTGAGGTACCACTTTAGCTAATGGGGCCTCCTGCTGCCGCCATGCGATTTCTGTTCTCATCCTGAGGTAAAGTTCTTAACCCAAGGTACTACTTCCATGTTATGGGCTTACAGGGTCTCATTCCTGTCAGCAGTTATCCTGCAGGATTCTGCACTAGCAGCAGTAGCTGCAACTAGCAGCTTCCGGCGTCAAGCACAGGTGGAACATTGCGTGGACAGGCGGAGTCCCCCAAACCCTGGGCGGCCCCATGTGATATAACGACTCAAGACAACGTGCTATGGGATTAAAATTGGCCGCAACTTTATTATGTTTCAGATGTGGGTAGACCTTGGCTCAGGCATTGGGCGTTTATCCTTCCCAGTTCCCCGCCGGGGACCTGGGTTATCCAGAGTGTGTGGGGGGATGGGTGGTGGGTAGGGTGGGAGAAGCTCTGGAGCCAACTGACAATTCCCAGGTAAGATCCTCCCCCTATTGTGTGGGCATGGTGGTTCCTCCCCCTAACTGGCCTGATCACCTTGGCAACGCCTCCCCAGGTGGGATTGGGCCACTGGCTGAGGTAGGCAGAGACCTCCAGGTATCCCACCTGGGGAAGGCAAAGCCAAGCCTGCGCTAATGGTGCCACACAGGGTCCCAGGGGCTGCGAGCGACCACACAAAGGGTCCCCCCATTTAATGTGGGGAGCGGTCATTGAAAGCAGCGCATTGCATTAACATATGCAGGTGCATCACCGCACTTGAAGATTCTCAGGTGTCGATCACTGAACGCTTTTAAGATTCTCTGCCGAACGCATGACTTGTTTCCCCACCGAGGTGACATCAAGACATTTCAGAGTTCTGTCTGTGGTGTTTGGTCTGTGACAGCTCATTCGTGCAGGTGAGTCACCGCTTGATGCAGCCATCATCAAATGATCAGCTTTCATGCATGAGCTCCAGGAAATTGCCAGTGTTGTGAGTTAATGCTGCAGCCTAACAAGAAATTAATGGAATCTCGAAGAGGACTGCCAGTTGTTAAAATTGTTTTTCACAAGAGAAGGCTACTTATTAATATTTTATTTTTATTATATGTGAGGTTACATCAGAGACTATTAAAGTTGTATCTGTGGAGATAGGTCTGTGATGGCTCAGCCCCGTATGCAATTCATCATTTGCTTCTTCGGTGAATTACCTCACTCCTTTTCTCTCTCCCTCCCAATTGTTTTGTGCACTAATTGGGGTTGGGAACAGCAGCTTAAATAGCATCATAAAGGTAAAGGGACCCCTGACAATTAAGTCCAGTCGCGAATGACTCTGGGGTTGCGGCGCTCATCTCACTTTACTGGCTGAAGGAGTCAACATTTGTCTGCAGACAGTTTTTCCGGGCCATGTGGACAGCATGATTAAGCCCCTTCTGACGAAACCAGAGCAGCGCACGGAAACGCCGTTTACCTTCCTGCCGGAGCGGTACCTATTTATCTACTTGCACTGCGTGCTTTCAAACTGCTAGGTTGGAAGGAGCTGGGCCCGAGAAACGGGAGCTCACAGGGATTCGAACCACCGACCTCCTGATCGGCAAGCCCTAGGCTCTGTGGTTTAGACCTTTTTAAACCTTAATGGCTAGTATTTAAATATGTGCCTCTTCAGGGCTGTGGAATTTTCTCAACTTCTGGCTCCAGTAATGTGGAATTCTAACTCCCATCAAGGGCAATGTTGATATTTCTTTTCCTCAGCATTTCAGAACTGCTATTTTCTTGTCCATTTCATGAGTAATAAGGGATATAAAGTCTGCTAGAAGTCAAGGATGATCTCCTCCGCTGGTTCTTGCAGTCTACTTTCCAGCTGATTTAATACCATCTCAGGATAACAACCAAAGTCTGGCATGCCTCTCTCCCTTGACGAAAGAATATGCTCTAAAAAATATTACTTTCCACTTGCAAAGAGCAAATACACCACTAGGCTGGTTCACGGGAAAAGCAGTTTTTGGGCCTCACTAGATCATATTTGCAACTTAGTTTTGTACATGTCAAGCTATTTCTGATGGGGAAAGCCAATATTCAGATCCAAATCTGAAATGTGTTTCCCCCCATTTTGGGGAGTAAAATCTGTTAAATAAGAAGAAAAAAAGCTCATACCAAAATGTAGTTTCAATGGCAATGTAATTCACTGACAGTCATTTCAAAGAGACAGCATGGTGTAGCAGTTAAAGTATGAGGCTAGGAGTGTCCCAGATTCAAATCCTTATTCAGTCATGAAGCTCTTTAGGTGACCAATGGGCCAATCACTGTCTCCCGACCTAACTGCTTCGTGTGGTTCTTGTGATGATAAAATGTGAGGGGGAAGAACCACATACCTGATTTCCTTACAGGGTAGGCGAGATAAAATTTAATAATACAGTGGTGCCTCGGGTTAAGTACTTAATTTGTTCCAGAGGTCCGTTCTTAACCTGAAACTGTTCTTAACTTGAAGCACCACTTTAGCTAATGGTGCCTCCTGCTACTGCCATGCATCCAGAGCACAATTTCTGTTCTCATCCTGAAGCAAAGTTCTTAACCCAAGGTACTATTTCTGGGTTAGCAGAGTCATGTGACCCAGAGCTTCCTCTTTCGGTTCGTGCATTCGGAACACCTGCCACCTCTCCCTGCTTTTAGGGTTTTGCACTTGACCTTGCTATGCCGTTGTGTGTCATCTGTCATTGGGACAGGGGGCACGGCAGGAATTTTCCCCACTTGGCTGATTGGCTGGTGCCATTTGGGTTTCGCCTGCCGCGTAGCAAATTGTAAGGTTGCGGATAGGCTCTGGTTCAGGTGATAGGGATGGGAGAACGCTCTCGCCATCCCTATGCAAAGGGTATTCCGTTAAAGGAATCCAGGGACTCGATGGTTTGGTCGACCCCTGTGAGGGGGTTGTGCCCGTGCCTGAGTCCAGGGGGAAATTTGGGTGGTGGAGATAGCCTGTTCCCAGCTTTCCGCTTATCCAGGTGTTCACCCTTGGCTGACCTTTGCTGGAACCTTGGGTCAGCGCTACCTGCATGGCAGGGAGCTAGTTGAACCAGAGACTATGCAACCAGTCACATTCTGTAATCAATAAAGTTGTGGCCTAAATTCTGCCAAAAACGAAAACCAAAATTTGAGTCAAGTGTGAATTTATTTAGGGGGGAAGTTTCTGGGTCTGAACACGCAATTATCTAAATGGGCAATTTGTCTGCAGGGAAAGGTGGTGGTGGAGAAGCACCAGTTGTAGTTTTGAATTTGGAGAGGAGAGGGCAGAATATTTAGCTGGAGTTAACTGGTTAAAAAA